GTATAGTCTGTAAAGTTCTCTCTTATGTTTTATGAGTCTCAGAATGAATTTGGGTAGGGTGTGTCGGTAGAAAACATTTTTAATTTCAGGGGTGATATTTTTTTTATTTACTCTATATCCCTCCAATCTTCTTCCTTTGCGTAAGCTTGTCAACCATACGACGAGTTCTACGTCTAACCCAACATTTACAGTTTCTTGTGTTGCTTATTTTGGTTTACAAAACAAGCTATTATACATTTGTAAAGTAATGGTTTGTACATACACATCTATATACTCATTAACGGTGTTTGATAATTACTAAATTTCAGAATATCATACGGCAGAGCTTGCTAAGAAATGGGCGTAGAGGATTTGCCACTCTTCCTAATGCTGCTCCTCAACCAGACCCAGTTCAAGAGGCTGATAAGTTGATTAAAACGTTAGAGTTGGAAATCCGCAGCCATGAACCTGCAGTGCTTAAGAGCTACTGTAAGTTTGTCGTTACTACCGGCAATCATTTTGGTATTGACACTAAATCGTAAGTACTGTACTGTTTCTACTCCAAACTTGTCCGGTTTATGTAGTAGTATTAAACTTGCGAAGTCTGATGAGATTCTTCAGCTACAATAACAATCCATATTTTCAGTTGGAGCCTTAGAAAACCAGTACATGAAAGGTACACAGTACTGAAATCAGTTCACATCTACAAGAAGCACAGAGTGCAATATGAGAAACGAACATACTTTGGCTTTGTTCAGTACAGCAAACTAACTGGATCCACTGCTGATACTTTATTAGAATATGTAGAAAGAAATTTGCCTGAAGGTGTTTCCTTAAAAGCAACCAAGGTAGGGTAGGTAATTCGATATAGTAACTGTATGTGGAAATTATGTCATTTTCAGGTGGAGGTGCAACAGATTCCTGACCATTTGAAACCCAGTTAGCAACTTAATTTTAGTAACATTGTAGATATTTAAAGCTAGTTTTTATGTGGACAATAAATCGATGAAGCTGACCACTTAAGAATTGAAGTAATAAGCGCAACTAACTAGCAAGGTTGGCTGGTATAATTTGCTATTAATATTTGAGGCATTTTTTCTCCTGGCATCGTTTCCCATATTACAAATACAGACCTATTTTTTTCACCGTTTATTGTTAGGTGTAATTATGATATAATTTGCTAATTTGAGACAATTTTTCTCCTGGCATCGTTGCGAATATTACAAATACAGAGGTATTTTTTTTACCGTTTAAAAAAGTTCGGTACTTTTCAGCACAGTTCTGAGATGTTTATTATGGAAAATAATACTTATATTACATAGAAAGTAAGAAATAGCATACCGACGTTGTTTAAATACAGGGATTTCGGAATCACTGTTTTCTTGATGTGATTGGAAAATTTCAGCATGAACCGAATAACTCGCATCATAGACCGTGACCAAATTTGGCGACAATAGCTGAACAGCATTCGTTCAAGAAATCGCGCTAAAGCCAACATTCAAAATTTGCAATAATATTTATATTAACATCGCCATCGATGAGTTTTCATTCATTCAAGTCAAAGGATTTGGCATCAATAATCTTAAGAGTGTAAAGCTATTGTTTGAAAGGCAACCGTATAAAGCACGTATTCCCCATCGCGCAACTGGCCGTTTCAGCGCCGGTTCGTAAATATGAAAATGTCGTTCTCACCTTTACGCTGATTAGTCTTTTAGACATATATTTAAGTTTGCTGTTATGGTAGTGGATGAAACAATAACTTCCAGCAAAATAATGCATTTTTATCGGGTTCTTAGAAACGATAGTGCATCCACCTGTATGTCTAGAAAAGTTTGTTGTTTTGGATGTTTTAACATCAAATGATATTTACTGCAAATTTAATTATTGTTTAAGTAAAATACTTGCTCATTAATAAGATGTTCCCAATTCCAATTGTAGTGTAGATACTTAACAGAATCAATATCACGGACATAATCCAACCTTGACTCTCATCCGTGTGGCGGCTTTATATTTTTATTTTTACATGGCTATACAACTAACGACCTGTTTCGAGCGCTATTATTCATTATGTTCAATTTTGTGTCGATTTTTTTTATTTTCTCTGCATTCTATACAGTAAATCTTCGCAGTTTTGAAAGTATAAATTTGAAGTTTTATCAAAAGTTACTTACCAAAAAACTGATGGAATCAATTCCTGCAATCAGACCGACAAAGTCCTTCAGATTAAAAAGAAAACTCCAAATGGTTCCTTGAAAACCCCAAGTTTGTTCACACTTTAACTTTATGAAAATCAAGATCACCGCCATGTTGTGAAGAAACGTCAGACACTTTCCTAAATATCTGAATTGTTTGTTAGCATTGCACCACTAGCCCGAAAAATGATAGGAAAACATGCTAAAATGCTTTCTGTATCCGATAATTAAAAATTTTCCACATGAAAATAGAAAATGAACATTTTTAATATTTTTCGGAGCGAATCACACCCACTGTCAACTATTTGCCATTAAACAATTGACTAATTCGACAACTTCAACAAGATTAAACGTGGCTTTGAAAGCATACAACTCAACAGTCGGGCAGATTAAGACAAAATATGTATTTTTGTGTACATTAAAGAATATACATTTTTAATTTTATTCACTCCAGCTTCGCATCTCTCTTGCCAATCGGCTTAAACGCCACAGATCACAAAGGTAAGCAGAAATGAGTAAAGATTGAAGTTGTTCTTTCCAATGAACGTCATATGAAAAAATAACCTATTCTCACTGTACAGGTACACGTAAGTAGTAAGCACAGATTACGGAGTATAGATTGGACAGTTTGGCTTTCCCGCCAAAATGATTTTGCTAAATGCAACCACAGAGAGGCGTCGTC